ACATGCAGCTAGTCAGAATTACTGAAAATACTTATGGGGTTGATTTTTGACATTGAAAGCCTACACATACAATTGTGTTGAGCTAAACGCATCAAAGGACAATAGTGATAAAATGCCATTTGGAAGCCTCAACTACAAGCACCATTTGTTTTTCTTTTCCATTTTAACAGATGGAATAGTTGCAAAAACAGCCTGAAATTATAATTTAAGAGATCTTTGTTCTTACACACCACATTGATCCTGTAAAGCATGTATTAATCTGGTTGCATGGAAAATTAAAGAGCAAAATTTACTACTACAAAGTTTAGCTAGTGTGAGACAACCAAAAAAGCAATTCTAGCAAAACTCAGGCAAGCTCTCAAACTTACTGCTCAAGCAAACCAACTATTCTACTTGTTTCGTTAGAGCGGCTCAGTGACAAGCATAGTTCGTTTTATAATTTCTAAATAATTTATAAATGTCTTTAAAAATACATTGTTTATCATGCTACAATCTTAGAACACAAGCCCAACAGCAGTAATAACATATATGCCTTCAGATCTGTACCAATACAAGAACACATAGATTACTACCTCATTTCTAAGGCTTTAACTAACGCACATTCATGATCAGCACAATTACTAAAATTAAATGCTTCAGCTATCTCAAATTAGTTCAGTTTGATTAACTTGGAGGTTTTCTTACTTCAGCTTTCTTTTCCTTTGCTTAAATGCTGGCCACTGGCAATTTAATTGCATGATAAGAACCCGACTTGCATAAAGGCAATGATAATGGTCCTCCATAAACTACAAACTTTCATAAAGATTGGTACTGTAGTGTTTTAGAAAACAAGAGTTCTGATTTCACTACTTCTCTACAAAAAGCATGATCTCTCTATTGTTCTCAGTGTTCATCCAAACTAGCAGGGCTAGACTTTTTTAGCAAGACTTGGTCATTTAATGTCCTGTCATTTTAGCAAGAATATGTTTGCCAGTGATGCAAACAGAACACTACACACAATGTTTATCAGTGCTATTCATATTAACAAGAGATAACATGGACCTGATCACACTTCTGTTATTTCCATTGTACTGTGCTCTAAGAAAAGGCTGTGCAACAAGCATAACAATAATAAGGATAGATTTTACCCCAAAAAGAAGCAAAGTACTTTGCAAAACTAAATCAGAACAGCACTCCATTACCCACGGAGATATTATGTCCTCAAGCTGTTTTATAAGTCCACAATGAGCCAAGGCAAAAAATACTTCACATAAAAACATGAACTTAGTACTAAGTTGTTTGCCTAGAGTATTACTAATAAGCATTCTCCACAGGTTTTCAACGTGGTTACGTTCCCAGCCTTTATCAATTCCCTTCAGTCACTAGTTTGGGGTTTCTTTTTGTAATTTGCATTTTATAACCTGTCTGTTGAAAACATACCAAAGACAAGACAAATTAGATCATCGTCTGTAAGAGTGAAACTCTTCTATGTTCTTGCCAATGGTATATACAGTACGTCGAAACAACACAGAGGGACTACAAAAGGAACTACAGATTAGATCTACTAAATATTGCAATACTTTAAATCACCAGCACCATCATGCAAAAAGAATTTTTTTCAGTAAGCAGTACCCTTTTCCTGCCCCCATATGCTACTACTTATATTTAAGAAATGTAATTGCTTAATACCAAGTGTGCTGAATTAATAAATCTCCAACACGCTCGAGTTTGAAAGGGAATGTCCAACCTAGCATTGCACTGTGTCAACATTATTTTTAACTCGAGTTGTTGGGGTTTTTTTCTTTTTTTTTTTAATTCAATACAATATGCTCTATACAAATGACACACATTTCCTGTAAATTGAAAACTGCAAAGCAAACAGATGGAGACACAGACTAAGAAAAGAATTAGAATATCAGAATAAAAAAAGTTGTTCTTTGAATCCTAGGTATGTAGAGTCAGACCCCTACACTATCATCACACTGCAAAGCTCCTACATTCTTCCTTTACTTTCTTTTGCCTTTCACACTACACTGAACCTGGCTGTTAGGAAACTTGAATTCTAGCTCCACCTGTACAACAGGTAATTATAAACACAGATTTTGATGTGTACTTTAGGCTTCATTTAAACTACTCCTTCAGGTACAGAAAAAGGATTGAGGCCTCTTATGTTCTAAAGAAGACCTCCTGTAGTTGGAGAAGAAATTACAGAATCCTAGCACTAAACTCGGTATGTCTGTGCATTGCCTTCTGGAGAGCTTGCTAAATTAATGTTTAGGAAAGATGAATGGGCATTTAAAGGGAAGCAAACCAGCCTTTTATTTTAGAAGAGTATGGCACTAAGTACCCAGAGCCCTCAAAGAATATCTCCTTGGTACACAAGTGTTCTTTCTCCCTATCTTCATTTTCTTCCTGCTGCAGAGAGCAGCATCCTCAAATACCATACTGAGGAAAGTAGGTCTTCGTAACAGCTGAAATATGATTCCCCATGAAGAAATGGAAGAGACAGAAAGCAAGTTCTACAACTCAAAATAGACAGCGTTGCATACTGCTAACACTGCTAAAAATTCCCCTCCCTTCTTCTGCATTAATACCGTATAAAGGAAAAGGTTTATCTGCCAGTTTATGAAATTCTCCCATCAGAGTACTGGAGGAGAAAGTATATAATCAAGATTTCCTTAGATATAAAGCATAACTAGTGTAAGCCTATCCTTTCGATTACAGAAAATATTTTTTTCTTCAAAGTATTTTTAATTAATCTACAACAAAGTCAAAATTATTTTTACAGAGGTATCCAAGGATCGCGTATTTCTGATACTATGCACTGAGAGTTGGCATCTAGGGACATTCTAGATCTTAACTTGATTTAAAATATGCAATTAAAATGCAGGTTCAGTTTTTCAGGTACCAAAGGACTATAACCTACATTCAGACAAACTTGGAAACCAGATACATATAAGCTTATATAATCACTGAGGGCAGAGGGAGCCAACAACACTCCTTCAAAATTAGTGGCTAATGTACATCCAGTTTAAAACCTCAACCCTACAAACATTTACATGTGAAATAGTTATCCATGCCAATGAAGCTAGCCACTAGTCAACGTTATGCACACACCTAAACCGCTGTAGACTCAGGGCTTAAAAATTTAACACAATATCCTTTGCACAGAGAAGAAAAACTAGTTTTGTTGGAGCACTGTTATTCCTGAAGTTGTGTGTCATTCAACACATCAAAGACTCTTCACTGAACTTGAAATTATTTATGGACGTGGTATGTTTCTTTTGCTTTAGACATCAAGGGCTTGCTACCATGTATCCTACCAGAGATAATACAAACTGAAAATTATATTTTATGTAGAAACCAGTTAATGTAACATGTACACACTTGGCTTATTCTCTTACCACTACACGATTACCCTTTGCTTTCGGGGGAAAGGAAAAAAAGTTTTTAAAAACCACTGCATTGCAACTGAATGGAAGAAAAAAACCCCTCTGAGATAGAAGAGACAAGGAAAATCAAGTATTTCGGTACGAGGTAGGTCACAGGAACTTGTTACAGCATTGTTGCAGATCATAACCTGAACTATCACAAAACAATGGGCAGTAGGATAGCTGCAGGCATGCAGCCAGTTCAAGAGCACACAGGGTGGAGTAAGGAGCCACTGTCTTTTCTCTCGAATATTCTCCTAAAACTATCTTCAAAGTATAATTTTTTTTGTCACCCTAGCAGGAGAGATCATCCATGAAGGGACCAAATATTCCTATGAATAACACTGACAAGTTCCAAAATCAAAGAAATGCCAAGTTAAAAATCTAATAATCTCTATTTTATTTAAGATTCTTTAAGATAAAATGAATAATATTGCATTTTATGTGCTAGAGAAGAATCGTAAATCCCTCTCTCTCCACCAACCTGTCTGTGCCTGCTGA